ACCCTCTGAATTTGCAGGAGAGAGCAAGCAAGCATCCTGCTCTGGGAAGAGCGCGCTCCATGGCAAAGGGGAAACGGGAAGGAATTCTCACCACCCATCTTTTGGCAACCAATTTAGCAGTTAAATGTAACCAGCTGGTCTCCCCAGGCTCCCTCTGTAGTTGAGGGAGGGAAAGCAAAGCTCCTGCAGAGGGTCATTCAGTGCACCCAAATTAGCCTTACTCTGAATTGTCCTCACTCTCATCCGTGACTGGAGAAGGAGTTTGATGAGACTACCCGGGTAATTTAGCCAGCTAAGATGGGTGGTCTGAATAATTCCTTCCCCACCAACCTCTAAAAGCCTGCCTAGGTACCCCACAGAGATTGGCATGCCATTGGAGGGATCGATTCCCAAGCATGTCAGCAGTTCGGTGATCTGCCCTCGTGCCTGCTCTAGAGAAAGCTGGAATGCTTGAGGAGCTTACTGGATCCTGTTGGACTCTGCAGCTCCCACCCAGGACAGGGAGCTGACCTGAGCCACACGCTGTCAGATGATGATGTTAGACCAGTTGTGGCAATGGTCAAGTTTTGGGGATTTGTTTTTTTTTTCCTCCCCACCTGTCAGACTGCACCTGCTGTCCTCAGGTCTGGCCAGAGGCCACTGAGATGGGATTAGCTGCAGGACAGCCTGACCCTTAGATGTGTCTGATGGTGGAACTGAAAGCGGCTCCCATGCTGCACAGACAGGAGACACAGCTGCTCCTACATACTTCCTAACCAACAAGTTTGATCCCTTCTTGTGGGACTCCGCTCTTATTGTACAGAGCAAGGAAGGGGGGCTTGCTCTCAAGAAGGAAAGCAAGTCACAGAGGCATGGCTTACCTCCAAAATGAGAGACAGACATGCAGCAGCCAAAGCAGTACTGATCCTTGCAACCAGAGGCAATACCCTAACAAAGGCACAGCCTTCCACAGAGCCAATAAACAGGTAAAAGCAGAGGATTAAATGGACTCACCTGCAGATGGTGATGCTGGTGGTGAAAGGAGGAGCCCTGAAAAACACTCAGCTTTACTGCAAGTAGGTACTTACCACTATTTTCCATGCCACACGCATCTGCCTGGCTGCCCCACAGCCTGCGCCTGCCCAGGTTGCTGACAGGCAGTAGGAGATGGGCAGGGTGGGCTCCAGGGCTGCTGGGTCCCACCTTGGACAAGCAGGGCCTCTGGTGCCCTCAGGTCACCCCCAGGCAGCTGGCTCGCAGCAGAGGTCAGGAAGGAGCGACAGCATACCTTTCCAGGCTCTTCTGCAGTCCCAGGCACACCCAGCTGGAGGATTCACAGGACAGCTAAAAGAACATCACTTTCCCCCAGAATTCGTGGTCTAAAAATGGCATCATCAGAGTGAGAGCACAGATTTTGAGGGGGAACCAGCTTCAGGATAAGCAAAAGTTTTTGCATGAAGAAACCAGGAAATGTTCCCTATCTGTTTCCCAAAGAGCCAGAGCCATCCAAGTAACCGAGATGTTACTGCAACAAAGATTTTCATCTGCCAGATTAAATTGTGCTCCCCCCCCCCCAACCCCGAAAGTTAGTTACATCTTTGTACTACCACTAAATCATGATTTTTCCATGCTTGGCCAGTAAAGAATCTGACCTGGGCAGCTGTTTAAGTTGCTGCTCAAAGACCAGCAAAGTCTGGCTCTCAACTGTTTGAACAGTGGGAACAGTCTTTTTACAGCCAGCCTTATTAAAGCACAGGATTTTATTAGCTGTTTCGTGGTAATAAGGTGAAGGACAATGTTGTGGAATGCTCCTTCAAGAGATTTGGGACCTTGTATACTTCAGGGTTTACTTTCCTCTTTCAGACTAGGATGCTTGGCAACCAGCTAATAGGACAGCTTCACTGTAATATTCTTTTCCTTAAAGCCACCTTTGACAACCAATTTTTCACCCAGGTAGAAGAAAATTATTGCTTGAAGAACTGTAAGAGAAATAATTCTATTGCCCAGTTGTTCCCTTTTTAAGACATTGCAGGTACTTGGAAAAATCTATTTTGGCCACACACAATATACAGCAATGTTGTATATTCAAAACATAGAAGCTAATGTGGTTTTCCTCTCTGGCAAATTTCTTTAAAGTTCTGGTAATTTTCTCACTTTTAATGGATTGTAAATGTCCCTTTTTCCTGAAAGCCACTTCGGAGGCACATAAAGTTTCAATTAGCATTTGAGAATACCTGCCAGGAAGTTTTCATGAACATTTAAGCAAATACGTCTGAGCTATTTTGCAAAAGAACAAAGTATTCTGACAAATTTCAGCAATTTCCCATCATCTTTTGTTTCATACCTCTAATGGGAAACAAAGAAAAGCAAAGCTTCCAAATCATTGACGAGCTTTAATGAGAACTGTGTTACTTCAGACTGTGGGTGCCAAAATAAAGATTGAAACACAAGTTTTTGTATTTGAGACTGACTCTGAAATGCTTTTTGGGAATGAAAGATACATGTCTCTGAAACCCGCTGGCTAACACCTTTACAGTCACCACCAGAAAAATCAATTGACATTTTACTTCACGAGTTCCTTTTTCCAATTACAGTGTGTTCTGTATCAACTATACTCAAATGTTTTGGAGGAAAAAAGAAAGCAGGTATTTATATAATCAAATATCATTATTTCATATAATACAGAATAGCTCATATCATATGGAATGTAATGCAATAGTCAAATACACATACAATGACTTTAGCAGAGGCAGCCAACCTTTTGTTGCTCTCCAAGCTTCAGACTACCAGGTATTAAACCATTGCAGGTTGCAGCCGATTCTCACAGTCGCGTCGAACAGGAACTTGGGACACCCATTCAAATGCAGATGCAGCACCTCTGTGCTCTCTTGGGGAGGAGAGACCATTCCCCATACTGGTCAAGCTCGCTGACCAGTTTGCCAGTTTAAATAAGGTCCAGTTGCCCAAGCCTCCAATTTTCAGAGGTTCAGCTTTGAAAATAAACTCAGGAGCAAATCCCAATTTCACAGTAAGCAAAGAATTCCAGAGAGGTTTGTTGTGGGGTTTGTTTGTTTGTTTTAACCACCAAATACTCACTTAACTTTTCTCCAGACTCCCAATCCAGGAGAAGCCTTAACACACGCATGGTTGAAGAGGAAACAAACACCATATAGCACATAAGGCAGACGACGCACTGTTGTGTTGGAGGAACTTTCTCCCAAGACTTTCCAGCCAGTGCAGAGAAGGATGGACCAATGTTACGTTTCGAAAATAAGCCAGAAATCTTGCAGCATTCCTTCCACAAACTGCCATCTTGGAACAAGAGACGATTCGGGATACTGCATGAGTAGGAGTTATTAATTTAACTACATCAACCTGCACTCCCACTACAGGCAACCCAGTTATGAAAATCACTCTTGAGCAGATTCAGGCAGAACCTTTTATGTTTGGTCTTCATTTTTTTCTTTTTAATTGAAGCAGCATCTCATGTCTGTAAAACCTACTAAGAGCATGTATTTTTCTAAGATAAACTAAACAGAAGAACTGTTATTGTGACCATTGTTGCCCCGTTGCAACTGGCAGGAACCAGGCCACAAAAGCCTCATGCTATACCATTTGTAACAAGGTCCCTGGAGCCAGTATTGTTTTATGAATCTTTTTTTAGCCAGCTAATTGTAGGAGCATATTCTACAGCTTGTAAAGCAACAAATTGAGATTTTGCTGTTTTTCATGCTCTGTACTCATCCCTTTATAGGAACCCCATACAGCCTATTACTGAACTAACAGATTCTCCAGCCCCCAGAAACAGCTTCAGCTGGTACCAAGACAGGACCCAATTCCTCATTATCAGAGCTAGTTAAGTTTTGCTCCACAGGGAGGGTTCATCAATTCTTTGCACCTGCAGTGCCCTTAATACTTACCTATGCTGGGTTCAGAGAAGTTGGTACACGATGCTAAACCCAGAATTATACTTTTGACACCCAGCTTAGATGCAGCTAAGCACATTTTTTGCTCCTCGACAACTCCTTCCTCTCCCTTTTGGAATCATACGTAAATAGGTATGATTACAGTATTATCGCTACATTGATGAATTTTGCTTTAGCTAATGCTGTGTGGAAACAGCAGCTAGCTTTCTTTTCCCCCCTGTGCAGAAAGGTCCCTGCTTACAGAAATGTATAGCATGGCATGTGTATGCTTCTGAGAAAAAAAAAAAAAAAAAGGAAAAAAAAAGGAATTACAAACTAGGACATGGATTATTCACATCATTTGTGCTGGGAGAAACACACAGGGAAAGAAACCAGGCAAAGAGGCAACAACAGCAGTGCAGCACGCCTAAAACTTTAATCTTTGTTTTTAAAGAGTACAGAGTTCAAAGTGACACTTTCTTCTCCTTCCCACCTTCCCATTATCTATCCCATCACTTCCTAAGTTCTCCCTAAAAGGAACTAGTTCTTTGTTGATTAGTTTGACTTCCCTTCAAGTGAGGCACACCCGCTAATCTCCAAAAGTAGGCCCCAATTCAGTAAAACACTTGCACACGCACTTCACTTCAGTCTGCTCCCATTCATGGCAACATTTAAGTGTACATACTTGAATGCTGTTTTGAATAGGGATGTTTTTACTCAACCAAAGATGGGAGAGGGGGTTATATTCGTGTGGTCTTAACAGGGGAAGGAGGACATACAACATACATCATCTTGTTCCCAATTTAAAGGTAATTTTAGCAGCTGTCAGTGACTGACACATTGGTAAAATCTTACACAGCAGCTTAACCACAGAAGTGTGCAGCAGTAAGGAATCCAATGACATTTTAAAAAGGGCAGCTCTGAAATCACTGCTGAATCCCAGTTAAAGCAGCTTCAAGAGGTCAGTCAGACCTCTAAGTTTAAACACCCTCTGCTCCTCATGCCATTAAGCAAACACGCTTCATTAATTACAATTATATAAAGGGAGAGACTGACAATACAAAAAATAAAATATCTAGAATGGGAAAATCTACAGAGTTCAGAAAACAGGATTCCGGAAAATTAAAGTGTTTGTATTTTATTTTACATTGTAGGCTTTCACTTTTTATCCCTTTAAAATATATTTAGTTTTAAATTAATAAAGATCATAAACTAATAAATTGATATGTTCTTTACACAGACATCATAAAAATTGAGACGTTACACCACAGGACCCATCATCTAAATATCCCAATAATAGAACAGTTAAAGTGATGCTGCGTAATGTGAGGATAAAATGCCTAGATAAAACATGTCGTGGCTCTAAGGAAAAGTGTGGATTAGAGAATGAGAGAGAAGCAGGTGATGCTTTAGTCTGAATCCGAACTGTCTTGCTTGTTGGTATGGTACTGGCTGACTGCTTCTTCCAAAGGAGCCATTGTACCATCCGGCCGCACTCCCATTGGTTTGATAAGCTCATCTCTGTAAGAGATTTAAAAAAGTATATTAGCATACGCACACATATCGATTCACATGTGTATAATACAGTCACATACAGTACATGCTTTAGTACATAATGAGCCTTTAAAAGGAAGTTATTTCTGTTAAAGCCCTCTGTTTTGAAGAGAGAGGAACAAAAAACCTTCCAAAATAGGTGGGAGGGGAAGAGCAGGACAGATAAAGACTTCATTCATGTAGGCCAAACCTACTTAGCCAATTAAAGACACCATGAAAAGTCAGTGCCTAATAGGCTCAAGACAAGGAGCAGGTTCACTGTTTTAGATACACAAACCAGCTTTTCTTCTAAGACTTCTCTGACAGCCATTTCTTCCTAAAATTCCACCTGCCATTCTGGCCAATATACGCCCGGGCAATTAAAACAATGATTTGATACATACTCATCTTGTCAAAGGAAGTAACTCAGAACAGACTCTGCCCACACCACTAGCAGGGCTGTGTAAGTACTTGTTGATTCATTTAAAAAAAGCTGACTGATTCTAATGCTATTGCTTTTGTTTGTGGCAGTTTAATTACAGGATTGACAGCCATTTTAATCTCTCGAAAGCTCCAACGGCCTCTCAGCAGCTAATCCAATTATATCTACTCCACAAGCTACAGCCTCATCTAAGAGATGATTAATTATTGATTAAGCCAATCAAAAAGTATTAGCAAAGATTTATTTAATCCTTACTTTTTATCACCTCATTTATATGTGGATTATGGCAAAAGCTGCAAGGGCAAAGATAACATTTTGATTTTCCGCCAAAAAAAAAAAAAAGGAGAATACCTTTAAATATTCAGGAGTCACCTTAAATAAAGGAGCAGAGGCTTGATGTCAATTTACCCCTTGCTTGAAAGGCAGCCCTGTAAAACTGTCGATTTAACACACATATACCACCCTCCCAAGCCACAGACAATAAAACTCCATCACTCAGTGGGGAAGCAAAGGCATTTCACCAGTTCTCTGCCTGGTCTGCACTACTACCTCAGCTGAAAAAAAGGGACAAAAAGTGCCTGTACGCAGCTGGCAATCTAATCTTAACACAACCATAGGAACAGCAAGAAAGGCGACATTTGAATTATATGGCATGTGTACGCTAAATATTGTACAGTCAAGCAGCAGTTAAATTAAGTCCCCAAGTCTTTTTTGCTCAGGAAGAGCAGAGTCCAAGAGAAATGCAGCTACTTGCGCAGATGCGGCAATCAGGTGCTACGGTGATAACCTCTCAAATCCCCCTGCCTGTGGCATTTCAAAGCATGAGAAACTGAACCTGGAGAAACTGCGGTGGTTTGGCTAACCAGGTCTGGGTGGGAAGCTGAGGGCCAGGGAAGGAGGTTTGTAATGACCATACTTGAAGAGCACAGGCCGGACTCTGCCTCTGTGTGTGTGCACACATAAGAGTAGGATCTATCTTTAAATATACTAGAGATAGCTTGCCATACTTGAGGACTGATGGCAGGTCCTCTTCCTTCAGGCAATGTGATCTATAGGATGCAGATTCTGCCCAAATGAGAGCACTCTGAAGTTTTCAAGTATCTGCTGGAGATGTGTGCAAGAAGAGATCAAAAGAATACTCAAAATCAGATTTGAAAGGGCTCAAAAAATTATGACTGCGGATCTAGTGTCCAAACAGGACCAGAACCCTCCCTGCCTGCTGGAGGGATCCCCCAAAGGCAAAGCTGGAGTGCTTCTGAGTTGCCTCTAATAGCAAAGACATTTTTCACAGAAAAAAAACCCTATACTTTTTAGCTTTTAAATTTTAAGCACCATAATACAAAACAAGTGTCCTTTGAAATCTGTAATCAGTCTTGCAACATTTCTTCAGTGCCACTTACTCAAGTTCCAGCCTCAGTATGATCTAATACACTTATTTTTGGAAAAGAACAACCTGAAGAGTAAATCCTTGCTCATATTTTTTAAGTCCTAAAAGTAAAAACATAGCCAGAAAGAAGAAAATCACTTTTGCTTGCCCTCTACGCTGAAGGGATCCTAGATTTTTGTTTTAAAAAACCACAACAGATAATCTTAGGTTGCAACATTTAACATCGCAGCCAGAAGTCACAGAATCACAACATTTACTAGTCATTTACAATTTAATATTTGTAATAAATTATAATGGCTAGTAAAGGATAAAGAAACAGTTCAAGACAAAGGAAAGAGAAACACAGGAAAACCAGGTCCAAGGTCCCCTTCTGAGGGAAATCTCCCTCTCCTCACATAAGGACACTTACAAGATAACCGTAAATATTGTCAAGAAGTCCTATCTCATCATTTGTCAATTACAGAGAAATAGCTCTTTCTCTGGAACTTCCCTTTCATGCTTCACTCTTACATCCTGCTACACACACTCCAGAACTTGGCAGAAACTTCTTCTCTCCCGGTGAGTCACCTGCAGAGACACTGAACAGCAGATGCAATAGACAAGTCACAGCCATAGGCACAAATCTTGGTCTGTGGTTTTTGTGAGGGTCTTTTGGGGATACATGCACCAAGCTTTGCAGGACAACGTAATGCAGAAGCCCGAATCACTGAAGTGCATTTGTACCTTCTTTTGTGATGTCCAAAAGCCTGTTTCTCAGCTCGCTGTACTCATTTCAAAGTGTACCATTATGACCTGTACTGTATTGCATTTGAGGTTCGTTCCTAATGCATTTCCTCCTCTCTAGGCTTCAACCATGAGCTAGGCTCATCTTGCATTTCACAGAATAACAAGGATGTTTATCAATTACCTTTCTGTTCCTGCACAAGCTTCCTGCTTTGCAAGTCCTTGAATAGGATGAATGACGGTTGTTACAAGTTTGCTGTTCTTTCTCTGTATTAGGAAGCTGAAATCCATACATCATTCCTCAGACAAATGCTACCCAGTAAAACTGAACCGTACGAAGACAGAAATACTCTAGGCCACCCAAAGAAGAGGTAGAAGGAGAAGCAGGGATCAGCCTATTTTTTTCCTAACCATAATCTAAGTCCTCAAATGGTGTAAAACCTGTGATCCTTTCACCGGTGAAGACATGACTGCAAGCTCTGAACACTACACAAGATTAATCATGTTTTTCAAAGAGGAAAAATACAGAGGAAGACAGATGAAAAGATCTGGGCTGCCTTCAGAAGTTTGGAACAACTATCTGCTAAGTAACAGAATTTTGGGTAGGACTGCAAGAGGCATCACTCAGCTAACTTCAGTACCGCACAAGAGCCTACAGAGCTGATCCTTACCTGATACGAACGGTCTCAGCTCTGCCAGCCTCAGCGATGTGCCCATTTAGCGCTGGCTGCTTATGGACCTCAACTGAGCTTCGACAACTTGGGCTAGCTGAGGACGTGCTTGTTGTTTAAGGTGAGACACAAGGTGACAAGGGAAGCACCAGAAACTGGCACATATAGCCTCAGAAGACAATTCACTACCCAGAAACTGGGTATTTACGGTCCATCTATAGGGCAGCAGAGAGATCTCTTCAGCCCAGTAGCTGGCAGCAGGCATACTTCTGTATCCATGAAGATATATACAAGTATACGATGCGCATATTTATACATATTTGAACATCCTTATGTGACCTCCCATATACTCAAATACACCTTCTTGCAACATTTATTTTTCTAATGCAAACAAAACATTCTATTCAAGTGTACTTAGAAACACACCATAATTAAGCAGTTGGTAAAATGCATTCTCTTCTTCCACTTCCAGATCTCCCAAGAGTCCCTTCAAATGTATCTATAGAAGTTCTAGCTTCCTGTTTGCCATTTAGCTTGATAACGATTCAAAAAATCATTCCCTTGTTTGGAAGGGTAACTCTTTCTTGTCTGCTCTATGTGCTATAGGGCAGTATTGACACATGGAATTAATGACGGTGTCTGTAATGAAACAGCCATCATGTAAACACCAGTCTGCTCCTTTGATAAAATGGCATGTTAGGGACCTATTCACCTCCTCATAATTGAGTGCTACATAATAGTTCCGATCCTTTCATGTAACATTATTTTGTTCTATGATTAGAAAGAGGAAGAAAAAAAAAATCTATCTAACATTGCCTTCTTCATTCATCCTATGATTAATTTTGTGTTTTTAATGACACACACACACTCGTTTTGTTGACTTCTGTTCAATGTACAACAAAACCAAGCTGTGATAATTGGGACACCATGTCATCAGCAAAAGGATTCTTGCTATTAATACAAGGTTGGCTTGGAAAAAGCATCCTGACATTTTAAATTAGTCAATTAATATACAATTCTACCTATCATTTATAATAGAAAAAATGTTAGCATTTTTTCCAGACATTTTAATTAACACAGAGTATTTCCAATAATCTATGATATAAACAGACAGAACATCACGTGACACTGCTTTAAGGTGGCGAACTTGATATTTTGCAAAAATGAAAGGTTGAGTTAAATCTTTTTTCAGATTTGGGGAGTGTTTCAAAGCTCAAGGTGTGCGTCACATCAGAGGACGCTGATTTACAGCCACCAAACAATTCTCAACGAATCAACAAGATAGTATTGACCCTTACTGCAGACAAAGCCCATAGAGTTACTTCAAAACCAAGTTCAGGCATCCAGCAAACTACTTAAGTAACATCTACATCTCCCAAGAGCTGCAGTAATCAAGATTTTTCATCTTCATTTACACTTATAATTTTTATATATATATTTAATGAATTAAAAAAGTAATCTCATCCAGACAAATTTGAGCAAAATATTAGTTTCTATAAAAGCTTTTGTAGAACCCAAGTCTATGTTAAAATACTGCGGCAGGGGAAATGGGGTCACAAACAATATTCGGCTTTCCTCCATACATTTTTGATAAAACAAAACTAGGTGATTCATTTTAATTTATCCTTGTCAATGGTCAATTACCCCATGAACAGGCCTAAACACCAACAACCTAACAGAATAGAAAAAGTTTGGAAGTAAGACCTGAAATGACCAAAAGCATAGATCAGTTTTACATCATCTCAAAGCAGTTTCTTCAGTGCCAATGCTGAAAATAAAGAGAAAACTGGAGAGCAAAAATCCACTGGCATCTTATGGAACAAGGGAGAAAATGGCACTTTATTATTTATAGTTTCAATAAACCTGTACAAACAGTACAGTGTAAACAGTCAGCAGCCATTAATGAAGGCTATAACTTTTAACTGAAGTAGTACTGTTTTGCAAATTTGTTTTCTGAGTTCAATCCATCATCAGGTAACTTTTCAAAAACTGTACAGAGCCAGTCAAAGCCAAATCTAGAACACCTCACTGTCAGACTGGCCAGATTATCCTCATCAGTCAGGAAGGAAAGCAAGTGTGTCAGTCCTTTAACCATTTTTTCCTCCCCACACCCTTCTCCAGTAGAAGCATGCTCATTCTTTAAAGCTTAGTTTCCATTACTGGGACAAGTGTACTAACCAAACCAGTTTTGCTGTGCATCACACAAGTTGACTCTAAGCTCCTGTTCAAGTTATACAGATAAAATTGCATAAACTCGTTTGAGATTAGAAGGACCTGTTGGTTCTGTGTCCAATTTCGTCCCCTATCGTAAGCAAAGCGCTGCACCAAACCAAAACTGCTCAGTTCATGGTGTACGTCCCCTCCTATGGCAGTGACAACACAGACCAGCAGAAGTAGGAAACCTGCCATCAGCTGTCTGCCTCATAGCAAGATTCAAAACCCAGAATCAACTGAAGACTCCTATAAAAGCAACCTCCAGTTTAAATTTGTAGGTTGCAAACCAAGGGAAAAAAAAAAGTACATTCTGCTGGTAGCTTTGTCTCTGAAAATCTCAAGCTGGAGGCAGAAATGTTGAACTCCAAAGCAACCTCCAGTTTAAATTTGTAGGGGTTGCAAAGCAAGGGGAAAAAAAGTACATTCTGCTGGTAGCTTTAAGTCTCTGAAAATCTCAAGCTGGAGGCAGAAATGTTGAACTCCAAATACATGGAGGGACTCCCACTACTATCAGCATGTTACTCTTTCTTCTTGTATACAAGACTGGCAGCTTCCCGTTTTATTTAACATCTGCAAACCCCACAATTGCACTCAATTACATTCATTAAAAACATCCCACAGCCTCCCAAACCCAAGTCTTACTTTCTTTTTCCTTCCTGCCAGCATTTCCCCCCATCTCAATTTTCAGTAAAACAAAAAGGGTGGGAAGAACAGCCAAGTGATTTTATTCACGTTATCACAGCACCTAAAGGGGCCACATCAACAACACTGTCCCACAGTAATCGCTGTACTAAAACCCAAACAAAAACCTTACAACAAAGAGAGTCCCAGTCCTGAAGAGTTTGCAGTCCAAGTACTACAGAAGAAACTGCAGGTGGATGTAACTGACACAGAAAGCCCAAGGTAACTTACTTCCAAAGTTTTTCTATTCTATTCAATCCCCAGTAATGCTACTGGCCAAGAGGATAAGCAGTGACACAGGGCACCAGCTGCTTCGTGATTGTCAGTTTGTAGCCGGCAACACAGCAGGTGCCTCCAATCCTCCAAACTGAAAAGGCTCTTATGCTACGGTAACACCATTTGGACTTTTTGTGTAACTGCTACAGCGACAGCAACTGACTCGTCTTCAGTTTATCTCTGGTCTCAATCTTCCTTTTAAAAAAGTTTTAGACCATTTGGTCATTTTATTGTGGTAACCCTAAGGCTCAGCATCCCAATTCTCTAGCTGACATAGCAATCATTCCATTTTACACAGTAGTTCAATTAAGATTATATGTGCATTGCATTTTCTTCTCTTTATTAAAAAGACTGTAACATACTACACTTGCTTTCCATGCAAATAATGTGAAAAAGTATCCAATTACTTCACTGACAGTCTCAGATCAGTTGTTCCAAGATCCTTCCCTGCTTTCACTCCTGCTTATAATTCAGTCTTTGTCAGCTAATAAAATCCAGATTCTCCCGTATCTTTTGCTGTATTCCTAATCATTAATAGAGATGTAAAAATACTTGGTTTGCTGAATTTCTCTCAATAGATCTCATTATTTGAGTATCTACAGACTCTCATAACACAGAGACACATTTCTAGCTGCTGAATTTTCCCATGCTTGAAGAATGGTCCACTTAATATATTTACCTGAATTCCTACAGCTCACTTCTGTAGTAAATTAGTATTACAGGTTCCTCCAGAATGTAAAACTTCTCTTATGCAGAATAACTACAAGCAATCACTCCAATATGGCTACAAGTATGGGGGAAGAAAAATCAGCAAATTCTAGGCATACTGAGTCAAAGAGGAAAAAAGCTGTAGCTAACAGCACAGGTCTGTTCCCTTTCTGTATGCAGAAAGTTATAAAATAAAAATGAACTTTCTGTATTAATAATGTACACCTTTATGTCACATTTAATACCATTTTCTTTCGTGGCATTACCTGTCATTTAAAACAAATTATAAAGGCTCATTTGTAAATCATTCCACACTTATTTTAACAAATCCACAATAATTCTTAATTGTAAATTCCCTTTTCATTGCTCCATTATATAATTTACTGCTCCTGGTGACAACTATTTTCACACTGTATAAGCAGCAGACATAAGTAGTTACCATGAGATGCTGCTCATTGACTTGGGGAAAATGATTACATTTGCCTTGGGCTTGGATTGTGTCCCATACTTTAAAAGGGGAAATTCTTTGCATTATTATCAACCTATCCATTTAGGAGGCAGGTCCCTTCACCAGCAGATCTTCCTGATTCTGTCCAATCCTCTCCAGAAGAGCTTTCCTCTGAAGTCCTGTTACATACCGCTCTTTTCTTTGAAGTGCTAAACATTTTTCCCTGCAGTTAAAGTGGTTCTAATCCTGCAAAGAAGTTGATTATAAAACTATTTTGAAGCACTAGACCTTAGTAAAGAGCCAGGATATGAGCCGCCTCCCTCCAAAGCAGGTAGAATACAATACCTGGAAAGTTTATCAAACATGTTGACAAGCTTCATAGCTTCATATTCTTTTTGTTCTTCTGTCATTTCATCCATCGGATTGGGCATTGGTTCTTCTAAGTGACCAGTGATAAGGTTAATGCTGGAGGTGGAAAAACAAGACAATTTACATATATCTATAGAAATGTAAACTGTATATGTTCTTGACAGAAGGAAAGAGGAACACGCCTACAGAAACCGCCAAGACTAAAATTGTCTGAACTGCACATGAAAGTTTTCATGATAAATAGCCAACCTTCATATTTATACTTTTTTGTAGCATTTTCTCGTGAATTGTGGTATTATATTCTTGTTGATTCACTGTATTAATTTCTGGTTAGCTACCCAGAAATACACAGTCCACTAGTACTTGTTATGTCATAACCCATACACAAGCAGTTTGAAAGCAGGGGCATTATGATGGTAATAATCACAATTTCATTAGTAATAATGACATAGATGGGGAACAGAATAACAGATACATGTTTGAAACTAATTCTGTACAGGCTTAATTTTAAAAATATAGACAGGTTCCAGTTACATTTTCTTATTCATGAAACATCGTTGAATTAGTTCACTGTTGCCCTCCCATGATGATTTTTGCTCAAACCAAATTAAGATTACTTTGAGAATTTACAATACCAGTTTTATTTTCACTCTTAAAAAAAGTGAACAGCAATACAGAAATGGTAACAAAAGCAGGGAAGTAGTTTTAAAGAACACTTTCAGGGCAAATTATCTTTTCAAGCACTTTAGTAACGATTAATTAACAGCGATACAGAAAATCAGATGCATAAATCAACTGACAGTTGTCTTGAATGTTTCATTTAAGTGTCAGCTTTTAACTAAATAGATGTTATAGTTTTACTTATATGCATATAACTGGATGTTAGGCTTTTGAAAGAAGAGCAGAGACAAAAGAGCAAGAAAAAAAATAATCCTGAAGTGTGGAAATAAAAAGAAATCTCCTGATTTAGAGTTTGTTTCTCAGCATAGAAGCAATATAATTCCTGTAACTTCTCATACATTTAATCCTGTGTTTCATTCATGTTCCTTAATAAGAATCTTTCAATAAGCCACAAACCTCCTGTCATATACCTAATCATGCCCATGTAATTCAAGGAAAACAGAGTAAAGCGGAAAAATAACATGTTTCAGATGCCCACTATCAACAATTTCAGAACCTACTTAAAATGGCATCAAGTCATAGATGTAACATGACAAACTGAAACCTGTAACACTAAATCAATTACAATTAATAAAAATCAACAGACAGAGCTTCTACATTATCATTGAATCCTTCAAACAAATATATTGGATTCCTGATGCATTACTTCTACAGAAGTTATTTCGCTCCTTCCATATTTACTTATGTGACCTACTTGATTCTTTATGCCTGGTACTAAACTTTTCAATCTGACTGATTGAAACCAGACCTACTGGTTTGTTCCTTTTCTACAAAGTCCTGCGTAAAACCTTAAACCACATCTGACACCTTTATTTTCTCTGTTACAGAGATATACCCCACAAACAATAGTTAGTAGTTTGGCAACTTCATGTGTCTTCTTGGAAAATCTGGCGCAAAAGCCATCCTTGGTAAGTTCGTTACTATAATTTTTTTCTAAAATTTGCTGAAAAATCTCTTTTCACACTTGAATTTTAAATATTCAGACTGAAATTAAAATCATTCTCATAGTGATTTTTTTTTCCCCCTGGAGCCATCTAACTATGAATTAGACCATGAAGTCAACAGGAGACAGTAGTTAACATGAGGATGTATAATTCCAAAACTGGCCTCTCTGGAAAAGATGAAACAAAAAAATTATGTCAAAACATCTAAATTGCAACAGAATATGCAGAATTGAAAACAATACTATACTTTGGCTTTGCAGATTTGTATTCTTCTGTATCTGTATCTTCATCATCTGAGTACCAATGATCTCCTCTTCCTCCTGCTAACAGGCCCCTTGCTGCCAGCAATCCTGCTGCATTACCATAGCCTGTGTATTTTAATAAGCTGTCAACTGCAAAGAGCAATACAAAAAAATTATTCAGCTATAATCATCTACAAAACAACAAAAAAAAAAGCATAGCATTACAAGAATTGAGAGTTGCAGCAAGAGGCAAATATACCAATTACAGCAAGACCTTATATAAGGAGGGAGAAGAAAAAGTAATGCTTACCTCTCTCTTTACAAAGAACAAAAAGAAATTCTGCTGCAATTTGCTTTACTCCAAGATCAACATGTGTCATAAGGCGCACAAGCTTGTTTCTCACTGTTGTGCCAACTTCTGGACGATTTGATACATCTCTTAATGGAGGCAATACCTAGCAGCACAATAAAGGAAAAACAGCATAGAATGCACAGCAATAGCTATCCGATCCTTGCAGAAACACACACAGTCAACAGAGTAAGAAAGAAAGTGCTCAGTCCCAAGCGTAGACTTAAAAAAACCCAAAACCCCAACTATTAGGAGTTTAAGAGCACAAATACTTGTCCCAAAATAGTTGGCTAACAGGAACCAGTAACCTCATGTTCTTTGTTTCTTCTGTTTTGCTCAAGTATCTGGCAAAAGCATTAAAAATACCAGCTTAAGGAAACTTACAATATTAACATGATATGTAATTTATACAGAACAAGGAATATACTTATAATGAAAAAGCAGGAAAATAAGTCACAACACAAATTCTACTACCATGAATTTCAAAAATTAGCTCTATGTATATAGAAGAAATGCGTACTTCTCCCAGAAAACACTTGTTAAAAGCTGAAGCTAAGTTTCAAAAAGATTTTGGAGAAAATGCTATTTAACATTTCCTCAAACAAACTATTTTCTCATTAAATGTCATTAATATTGTTAACTTCAACCCTCAAGAAAGGCAGGAGGTGCCTGAAATATGGCTGGTTTGCAACCTAACTTCTACCTCCTTGTGCATATGCACTCAAGACCTACATTAATTTTTTCACATTCACAGGATATGATATGATCTGCAAACAAACCTGGGCCATAACAAAAAATATTTAATGGTCTGAAAACTCCTGTAATAATTATGGATCTTCAGTGTTTTACTAGGGAATGAAGCCAATGATGTCACCAAGTGTTATAAGAAATTGCAGGTCCTTTGTCTTCTAGGTGTCTAATGTAAAAATTTCATGTTCTGTGCAAAATCACTGCACAATTACTACTGAAATCAGACTGACTAGGAACCGATACTTAAACAAATGAATGCTCAAGTATTGACTACTTAGAAAAGAACAGACATCGTCTCTTTCAAACTAAGTACTCAAACAATTAGCAAAAGCATTTTACTTTGTCCCTGCTTACTTTCCCCAATGGGAATAGTACCATGACTGCCATTTCACAGAGTGTTGTAAGAATGAATTAACATTTTTAGAATACGCAAATACTAATACAGTGATGAGTGCCATAGGACAGTCCATGAGGAAATTAATCATTCTGTCTTCAGATCAGGATTTGAATAGGGCACAATAAATAAAGCCTAAGGCCAACACTTAACAATGAGGGAAATTCAAAATATCAAACATCCGGTCACGCAGTTAGCAGCATCCATCCATTCTGTGCACTATATGAGACAGTGGTCCTGTGGTAAGAGACAGCATGCAGTTATATCTTGACATCTAGATGCCGAGATGTCGTAAAAACATGCGGACAACTTCATTTTCTAACTTCTGAACATTTGGCTCTGCAACTTTTTTTTTTTAACTTAACAGATTAGAAGAGTATCCTAAGAAAGAACCGCTGTGAACAAAAACAATAAACACCAAGAACAAGTTTCTTAAACTCCTCAAAAACTCTTTCCTGGTATAGTAGGAAGAGGTAGAAAAAACATATGCAAAATATGCTCTTTTCCATTATAAACTCCATTTATGAATTCAAGCGCAGCTTTGATCTTGGAGCAGCATCCACAGTGCAACCCGAAAAATCACTGCAGCTTACGAAAGAGAACATTTCTCAGCTGGATTCAGCTGGCTCTCCTTTTCTCATCTTTTAACTTTTCTCCACTCGACTACAGAAAAAGCAGCAGAACAAAAACCACCACACCCCACTACCAAGCTGTAGAGATCCTTTAGATCTTTAACCAAGGGATGGAAATCTTTTTTCCTGTAAAAACAGCCTGTACTGTATTAAACAGCTCTTTTAAGAGACCAAGGGATGAAGTGTGCCTCTGTTCAGGGACAGAGTTTTACTCTGACAGAACAGCTGACACGCACTGGTACACAAGTTTCAGTTCCAATGACTCCTGCCTGCTGAGGTCAAACTAAAGCTCAAGCAGAACCCGTGAAAACACCTGTAGCCTTACTGGCTACCACACAGCTTTGCAAAGTTTTATTAACTGCACTGGAATTATTTTTTTTTATATGCTGGATGTAAAGGGACAGACCTCACCGAGTTCTTTGCCCCTATGTCACATGATCCATGGTGACCCACATTAACACAGTGTTACAATACCCCTAAAGTTATTATTTAACAGCTCCACAAAACGCATCATGGAACTTAGGCCATAATACCTATTGGTTTACATGATTGAAAAATTATTTCTACAGCTGACAGTTGTCAGAGACCTAACAGGAAAAAATACTACAGAGAAATTTGTGGGTAATTTAATATGAAACCATTCATACTTTCAAAGTATCAGTGACTTGCACTGATGTACAAACATCAAAAAGTTTGTCATTAGCTTCATATTCAAATTTTGATGAGTATTTTACTTACCTGAGCTTTGATAAACTTCCTGATATTCCTATGAGTTCGGCAGCATTCAGTTAATAAACTGAGAACTGGAGTCAGACCTTCTCTATAGCTGCTTCCCTAAAATAAAACCAAAATACAAACGAAAATTTGCTCTTAAAAATGTTTTCTTTTCAAATCCTACGAACCCTTCAAAGAAGTCCTATATGACAGCCAAAACATGAACTTTACATAGATATTAAACAACAAGCCAAATGTTCATCCTCTCACGCCCGCAAGCAAGTATGCTTCAGATATTCACAGGAATCGGTTCTCAATTTTGACATGCCTCACAATCTAGAAGCAAGGACATCCATATTTGTGCTAGATACTGTCTGAAAGGTTTGTAAGAAGCTTTACATATCTGCACTTTTCCTTTAATGAAAGAGGCCCCTTTTGTGAAGCATCTTTGCAGCCCATACCTTGTCTATTCTCTTCTCCATGAAATCCAGTAAAATTTGAATTGCTCCCATATTCATACCATTGTATTTTATATCTGACTCCTCTTGGGATGATGGACTAATAAGAACATCCAAGCAAGAAACGGGAACATTGCTTAAGAGGTTGATTGCATTGCTGAAACAGATTTTAAAAATTCATTATTCATTTGGAAGAAAGAATTAAAACCAGAGTAGAACTCACCATAAACTGTTTGTACAACTGCAAACAAAAAGAGGCCCTGCAACTCAAACAATGCTTTATTTTCTACTCTCTGGGTTTTAAAGAAGGTGGTATACATTATCGCCTGAGTGCTGGCTCTTGGAACAAATCAGGAAAAAGACAGACAAAAGCTCCAAAAGCGGTACCACAGCAGTGCATTATTACTTCCATTCCCCACAGTATCCTACCCCATAGATAAGGCACAGCTTCCAGCACTGTGTTACAGCAGCTGATCTTGCAGGACAGCAGGGGGAACTCTCACATTGATTTGCAGTGATCAGAGGTTTTTTTCCTTCCTTGAAACTTCAGGCATTTTACAACACATCAATATTACCACCATTGATGTGACAAAGTACACCATAGAAAACATCTCCTCCTCCTGTAACAGTGGGGCACGGTGGCAATTTCTCAGGTCCTCTGAAATATTTCGACTTTTACTTAGCTTGTAGTATATAGGAAATACAGAAGGCTTTTAACACATCAGAAAAAAAAAAAAAAGAGGAAAAAAAAAGAAAAAAGATTGAGGTTTATTTACCAAGCACTACCTTTCAGGAACTGGCAGTCTTTGCATTCTACAAAGCACAGAGAGGAGTGCTTCCCAAATATCCATTAAGTGATTTAAAGTAGACCACAGGGTCCCTCCCTCCTCTTTAATGGAGTAAGATGGAACTTACTTTGCAAGGGTCTCTTGTATGGTACACATCCCTTGAGTTTGCTATCTATCCTGTTCTCATTATACAGACTTGCGTTTCTACTCTTCCTGAATATGGGGCTAAGTTACACAGATGCTGCAAAAATTAGAATTCTGTCATTATTTACTTGCTGATGCTCAACTGAACTTATAAATGGATATATTTAGAAATATTACAGAACTATTTAGGCCTACATATACAGATCTCAAAGCTATCAATGAAATGAAGAGCACCGATGTTTTAAGGATTGGCAAAGTGTTCCAAGAATAGAGAAAACTTTTCAAACAAACAACTTCATTTAACACTTTAGTAAAATTTACTCAGAAGCTGCCCTCAGTTTTTATGTTATCAATACAATTCTAACAAAGGTTTAGTACAACAGAAAGCAAATCATGGCAATCAAATGTAATAGGATTTCTAACCAATGTACTGCGTTTGGTCTGATCAGACTGGGTGGCTCTTCCACATTGTGCCATCTCCCTTTTGCTCTTTTAGCAACTGAAATTCAGACAACTTCTACTTTTTGGAAAGCTTGTTCTCTTTTGTTTCCAATTCCTGTTTAAGATACAGCTTTTATATCATGGAAGTTATTGCCCTCCAATAATTCAGGAATAGTCAGAAACAAAACAGACTGAAATTCAACAAATATTTGGTGGCTTCAGGCCTTTCATCCAAAGTTCTCTTTTTACCAGTTTCTTATTAAACAACCAAGTTCCCAAACACCTACAAAATTAATTTTCTGGATCACTGTGTCTGAGCTATTCTTTTCAATAAGTGAAGCCCGGCTTTCTGATCTTTGTCACTCCACTGACAGTTTTATTTGTGGTAGAGGAGTGTATGAAATTCTCCAGCTACCAGGAAGTCAGTGACTATGCACAGATCTGCACAATAGTGTTTGCATTCCTACTCCAGGGGGTAGAAATACTGCGTATATTACTCTCCCCTTTTCGGCTTCCTAGAGATCATTAATCACTGGGACATGACATCCACCCACTCATGCTCCCAGCCCCCTCCTGATATGCAAATTCAGAAGCAAAGGCCTATTTAGAGCTGCTGAATGCCTTGATTAAAACCTTGTTAGTCGGCAAAAATGGCACTCACTCTAATATGTGGTGCTTTAAGCTGTTCATATTCAAATGTTAAGTAAGGACAACCACAATAATGACAACAATACCAGGTGCTAAATTAGTTAAGATTTTTTTTTTTATAGGTAACTTCTGCTTATTTATTAGAAATAGAGTCACAATGCCAATCAGTACATCACAGCTCAGGGCGTGTATCCAAGATCTGATGCTCACATAAAATAAACATCCAGAGCACACGCATTCATACCATGTGCTTTAACAGGCTGCCCGAACCCTTCATTTAAGCATCTTACATTCTGCAGATTTACAAACTTAGAGAAGTGCAAGTGATCAGCAATTCTAAGAAATATACTTATGTCTCCCTGATGCTTCATAAAATTTATTCTGCATTCAACACTGCTTACACTTTATTCCATTTTTAACATTATTTTCATAATTGCCTTACTGATAGGCTCCAGGTGGAAAGCAGAGGAAGAAGTTGCACTCTGCTCTCCAACTCACACCTCATCTCTAGCAATAAAGATTGCACAGTCAAAGTCCAGCATACTGAACAGCCCAAACAACAGCACAGCCTCATTTTTTTTAGCTGTGCTATATTAGCTATAGTCTGCTAACACAAGTTTACTTATTCATTATTGAAGCCTCTATCAGGACATGAGAGTTTTGCTTGACCAAATACATCAGGGGACTGAAGTGAGGCTCTCTGATCCAAGCCCCTGATCCCTCTGAGGATTTGCAGGGGCATTACTTCTGACTGTACCTTTTCTATTCCAGGGCTGCCTTGCGATGAGTAGTCTTGGTGGAAAAGTATATTACATTATTCAGCTTTTATTGCACCCTGTAGCATTCAAAAGACAAAACTCAGGTTCTGCAAACGGGCTGAAATATTTGAATCACGGAAGTAAAAACCCAGGCAGTGCTTTTCTAGCATGTTAAAAAAACACCGAGTATGACATAAATCAAGATTGAATACTATGTGCAGCAATACTATACTTGTATTCTTCTTCTATCAACTCGAGCTAAACAAACTGGCTACAATTAGCTAACAGGGAGAAAGCTGGTTTCCCAGCATAACAGAAAGACCGATGCAGTGCTATACTGAGCCCAATGGAGAAGGGGAAACAACTGAAGTGACACAACGCAGTGATAACCATCCTGATTTCTTTTCTGCTTCTCCCTTCAGAATTATGGAGAATCCTTGCCTTACTTGGTGTCTCCATAAGGTCCATGTGGACAGCATCTCTATACAGAATATCCCTTCTGATTGAAAAAGAGCAAGGAAGAAATCACACTCATACTACATATTCTCCACAGCTGCCTACTTCTGTATGTAAAACCCTTTTTGGATCTCATCTGCAAGTGCCTGCAAAAGCTAAAACCAAAAGGACCTGAATAACATGCATCCTTTTGCAATAGCACAAGATAATTAAATTTTAGAGGGTAATATATTTTACAGGCTGATTAGACTAATCAGATTCCTGGACAAGGAAACAGAACATGTTTTCACGGGAAGAGCATCAGCTGTATAATGATTCACCAGAATATCAGGCAGTCTTGCTGACTATGTACAAGCTTAAATGCTAAAGGCCGATCTCTGTCCTCTTGTAGTTGTTGAATTTATCCAAATCTGTTCAATTTTCCTAGCAGTGGGGAACTTATTCCCACTGGTCCATCCCTTAAAGGAGGATGAGAAGGCAAAACACTCACCATAAGCAGCAGCAAAGAAAATACTGACTGCCTTTTAGGACACGCTCAGCGCTAACTTTAGTCACGGCAACTACTGCAGTAGTATCCTAAATTATTCTAAACTAGTTTGCACCAACTGAGAAGAGCTCTGATGTAGGATTTTACATCCTCTGATGTAGGATGTTCACCTACTAAGACTGTTGATCTCTAAGAGCTTTCCAAGATTTTAATCAAGTTCATTTAACACTTTCAAGACTGCTGGGTGTGAAAAGCTGTATCGTTCTTCCTGGAGACTGCAGTTCAGAAGATCATCTTCAAAAGATCCTACACTTAGATATATGGACATCTCTGAAGAAGAAAATAGCAATAACTTCATTGCCAAGAGATAACATGGCATAGTGTTTGAAGCTACTGTACTGTCAGGCCCTATGAACAGCTGACCTACTTGGATAAAAATAAAGATGTCATGGAAAAAACCCCAAACAACTAGTAACAATGAACAGAGAATCACCACCTCACTAAAAACACTCTGAATTTTGATTGAATTATTGGCTGCAAATACATAACAAACAGTTGGTGCAGGACTGAGGAAAAAACCCCAACCAATGCACCTAAAACTGCAAGATGATTCATGCAACTTGGGGGGGGGGGGGGGGGGGGGAGT